GCTCAGCTGTTCAAAAACACCAGCCGAGGGAAAATTGAGGCTTTTTACAGTCTCAGAAACCCCCAAGGGCGGCTCTACTCTGCTGGGCTGCTGCGAGCAGTCATCAAACCTGGGTCGGGGAGCTTGGTGTGGGTTTTCATGCATGTGTGCTTTCTAACTGTGCAGGAGCTGCATTGCAAAGTTATTTCCATTTTACAGAAGAGCAAACTGAGGTTAAGAGGGGTTCAGCAACATACCCAAGGTCCCACAGCTGAGAGACAGCAGAATCTGGGCTGGACCAGGTATGAGATTATACCTCGCCTGCCATGGACTTTGATGGAGATCCGGAACCTTGTGCTTTCAAAGGCGAGGCTTGTCAGTTTAGGATAAGGATTCTCAAACCACTAGGTGCATGTGTCAGAATCACTTAGGCGGTTCCACCTGGAGGCTCTGACTTAGGTCTGGGGGCAGGGGGAGGTAGTTCTGGGTGTACAGCAAGTTCCCAAGTGATGCTGCGGGTCCAGGAACCCCACATTGGAGACCACTGCTTAGGCTGAAGGTTGGGGGGCTCTGGTGTGGCAGGTGACTCTGTTGCTGTCACAGTTTCCTTTGGTGAGCCCCGAGGCTCCTGATTTCCCAGCATTCTTTTGGCCAGCAGCTATCAGCTCACCAGACAAAGGGATCATCAGAGATGTAAGCGGTTGCATCTGAGGAGCAGGGAGCAAGTGGACTGCCCAGCATTGCTGACCAGCCTCTGGCCATCTTCCTGGCACTGTGGACCAGTGTTGACAGAAGCCCCAGCCCTGGAGAACTGAGGCAGGAATGTGACCAGGCAGTAGTGTCTATCTGCACGTCCCCTCTCTCCATGTTAGAGTTGGGACTACACTCACTATTACCTTAGGTTCCCTCCTTCCAAGCCGAGATCTTAGAGCTGTTGCAGGGAGGGAGGGGGTAGGGCCACCAGCTGGGGCCACTAAACTCCTTGCCAGCAATCCTGTGGGAACTGCCCCTGTGGGTTTTCAAGGCTGTAAATCTTTCTGGGAGTAGAAAGCTTCATCTTTCTCCAGCAAGGTAGCTGGTGGTTTCAAACTGCCGCCTTCATAGCTGGCAGCCCCACTATATCCACTATAATCCACTATACTGCTAGGACTCCTTGTTGGGGAGAAAAGAGGCCCCAAATTCAAATATATTTATATAATTTTATTGGGGTCTCTTACAGCTATTATCACAATCCATACATCCATCCAGTGTGTCAAGCACATTTGTACATATCAGTGGTTCTCAACCTTCCTAATGCCGTGACCCTTTAATACGGTTCCTCATGTTGTGGAGACCCCCAACCATAGAGTTCTTTTCTTTTTTAAAAAAATCATTTTATTGAGGGGCTCATACAACTCTTATCACAATCCATACATACATCAATTGTGTAAAGTATACTTGTACATGCGTTGCCCTCATCATTCTCAAAACATTTGCTCTCCACTTAAGCCCTTGGCATCAGCTCCTCATTTTCCCCCTCCCTTCCCTCACCTCCCTCATGAACCCTTGATAATTTATAAATTATTATTTTGTCATATTATACTGTCCGACGTCTCCCTTCACCCACTTTTCTGTTGCCCGTCCCCCAGGGAGGAGGTTATATGTAGATCCCTGTAATCTGTTCCCCCTTTCCAACCCACCCTCCCTTTACCCTCCTGGTATCGCCGCAATCACCACTGGTCCTGAAGGATTCATCTGTTCTGGATTCCCTGCATTTCCAGTTCCTATCTGTACCAGTGTACATCTTCTGGTCTAGTCAGATTTGTAAGGTAGAATTGGGATCCTGAAAGTGTGGGAGTGGGGGGAGGAAGCATTTAGGAACTAGAGGAAAGTTGTATGTTTCATCGTTGCTACACTGCACCCTGACTGGCTCGTCTCCTCCTTGCGACCTTTCTATAAGGGAATGTCCAGTTGCCTACAGATGGGCTTTGGGTGCCCACTCCGCACTCCCCCTCACTCACAATGATGTGATTTTTTTGTTCTTTGATGCCTACCTGAGAGCATTCCGATATTCTCTGGCTAGAGTCTACAATCGATATTTTACTGGACTTGCTTTATCATTTATCTAGCCCTTTTTTAAAAATCGTTTTATTAGGGGCTCATACGACTGACTCTTATCACAATCCATACATACATCAATTGTGTCAGTCATACGACTGACTCTTATCACAATCCATACATACATCAATTGTACATTCATTGCCCCATAAAGTTATTTTCATTGCTACTTCCTAACTGTAATTTTGCTACTGATATGAATCATAGTGTAAATATCTGATATACAGGATGTATTTTCATTGTTACAAATTGAACATGATTAAAACATAGCGATTAAACACAAAGCAATATGTAATTATATATCGTGAAATATTTATTTCTAATTACAAATAAATGAAATTTTGTCTTCAAGTATGGTGTAGCATGGGTAACAGTCTTCACACTGGGTACTCATATGTGGGTGTATCTGCATGTGGGTGGACCCGCCTGGAGACGGATAGAGGAGCGCTGTCTTGGTTTCTAAGATCATCTGAAATATGTGTTTTCTGATGATCTTAGGCAACCCCTGTGAAAGGGTCGTTCAACCCCCAAAGGGGTCAAGACTCACAGATTGAGAACCGCTGATACATATGTTACCATCATCATTTTTGAAACAT